CAGCAGTGTCTGCTCCCGCAGGAGCCTTACCTGTATTTCCCCAACGCCCACCATTCTCCCTCTCTTTCCCCCTCTTTCTTCCGCTCCCGGAGTCACCCCAAGCGTGACCATGCCTCCGCAAGCGGTCCCGGCAGCTATCTTTCCTCCTCCCTCTCGCATGCCTGCCCTTCCTTCTCTCTATCTTCCGCCATGCCCCTACCCATCCCTCCGAACACTCCCGCCTCGGAACCACCCCCTTTAACGCCAGTCCATCCCTGTTCACTCGAACTCCTGACCCACCATAGCTAACCCCCTTTAACATCACCTAATCCATCTATAACGGCCCATCCCCACTCCAGCCATCCCAACAGCACCCCGCATCCGCAGGAGCCTTACCTAATTCCCACATTGGGAATCCCCCAGCAGTCCCCGCTCCGGCAGGAGCTTTTCCATATTTCCCCACTGCCGCAGCAGTCCCCACTCTCGCAGAAGCCTTTCCGTATTTCCCCACTGTCCCTGCCCCCGCAGGAGCTTTTCCCTATTTTCCACACTGCCGCAGCAGTCCCCGCTCCCGCAGGAGTCTCTCCCGTATTTCCCCACTGCCGCAACAGTGCCTGCTCCCACAGGAGCCTTTTCTGTATTTCCCTACTGCCGCAGCAGTGCCCGCTCCCGCAGGAGCTTTTTCATATTGAAAAAACTAAGTCCCCGGCTCCGGGGACTGCTGGGGGATTCCCAGTGTGGGGATTAGGTAAGGCTCTTGCGGATGCGGGGTGCTGTTGGGATGGCTGGAGTGGGGATGGGCCGTTATAGATGGATTAGGTGATGTTAAAGGGGGTTAGCTATGGTGGGTCAGGAGTTCGAGTGAACAGGGATGGACTGGCGTTAAAGGGGGTTGGCTAATGAGGATTCGGTGAGCTTCTTTGATATGGAAGCGGTCTGACTTTACGCAGGTCTTCAAGGCCTCTGGCTTCGGAAAGCTTCTGACAAAATCTGCGTCTTGATGTTGCTGGCTACGGGGGGTGGTTCCAAGGCGAGAGTGTTCGGAGCGATGGGTAGGGGCGTGGCGGAAGATAGAGAGAAGGAAGGGCGAGCATGCGAGGGGGAGGAGGAAAGATAGCTGCCGGAACCGCTTGCAGATGCGTGCTCACGCTTAGGACGGCTCCGGGAGCGATAGCTGAAGAAAGGGGGGGAAAGAGAGGGGGAATGGCGGGCGTCGGGGCCTGCACCATTAGCGGAGGCATTCTCACGCTTGGGATGGCTCCGGGAGTGGAAGATAGAGGGGGAAAGAGAGGGGGA